CTCGATGACGCAACACTATTATTTTATTACAAGTTACAGCTTTTACAGTAAGAAAGATTTGTTTCTAGAACGAGTACGACGTTTCGATCATTCTCAAGTACACAAGTTTTAACGGTAAAGAAGTGTTGCGTCAGCGAGGTCACGTGACTAGTATCACGCCACCCGTTTTCTAGAAATATCCTGTTCCTTCGGGAGTGCCCTAGCATTTGCTAGATTGAGGGTGGCTGGTATATATAAGATGGTCACGGCGTAACGGGACAATGTGTAGGTAGTGAGTAATTGAACTGCAGTCAGAGAGTATCGTTGAAGTTAACGTTCGTTGTTATAGCGCGACTGTTGAAATTAAGTGTATCGTAAAGTTGTATTCGGAAAGAATAAACCAGTTTTATTAAGAAAGGACTTGTGTCGCTAAAGTTTCGTCGGAACGAAGTTACGGACAATTCAACTAACGAACGGAGACGTAACAGAAGGTTTTAGCATTTAAATCAACATTCAACAATATAACAATGTTAGTTTTTTTATGAATGAATATGATCATAAGTGGATTGTGTCTTAAATTTTAAGCACATAATATAACATGGCCACAATCTGATTATTGCCCATTTTCCCGGCCCAGATGGCTCAGCGGTATGTTTGAGAGTTTCATACGTTAAAAATTCTGTTTCGATACCACGATAAGCACAACACAGATAGTTCATTGTGTAACTTTGCGCTTAGCAACAAACAAAGCCATGTTCCCGGTAGATAGATATTTCTACATTTTATGCTTCTACCGAGTTATAGGCTAAGAAACACAGTTGCGTTTCGGTTGTTTCATCTTGTGTGGAAGTAAATAATAAAAAAGGGAGAGTAAGCCCGACTACATTTTGAATTACTATGTATTCTTGGTCTGCGTCTTCCCACTGGAACACTTAGTATCAGATATTGAACTTTGACTTGATTCCGAAGTCTGTGACTAAACAAACATGAAAACAGCGAGTGTACTTTACGGCATTAGATAAGATTTCTTACCAGTAACATCTAATAGTAATATGTGTTGATACGTTAGGTTGTTAGGAAAATCTATGTTTCCATTATGTGGTTCAGGAACGTTTAATATTTCCAATCGAATATCTTATGAACATGAAATATTTTTAGGTTTAACGATTTCAGTTTTTTTTATATCTTGAAGGAACAGAAATTAAACGCTCTTGTTTATTACATCATGAAATTAGATATTTATTTTTGTGTTGACAAGTGACTCTAGAAAATGCCGAAATTTAGAAATTATAAAAACCTTTGAGCCTTAAAATATGGCAATGTTTCTAAAACAGTTGAATTTTAAGTTAGAATTCTAAGATCTTGTTGTAAAACACTTTGACTTATCCCCGATGGGACAGTGATAAATCTATAGAATTACAATTCTCAAATTCGGGGTTCAATTCCCCACGGGAGACATTGCAGAAATCTCAATGTGGCTTTGCTTTAAAACAAACAAATAAATAGTTTGACCTCCTTAAAATTTTGTGTATTTAATCTGTTGACACACAAGTATTGAAATACTTAAAATTCGAGTGATCTAAAAAATTGTCTTTTTGTTTGAATAATTTAAAAAGCTTGCGTTTATTGGTGTGCTGTAAGAGTACGTATTGCATTTTCCAGATTGAGTCAATTTTGACAGGAAGTTATCAATGGTAACAGCTACACTTGTAAAGTTGATAAATATACATATTATACCCATGACTTAGGTAGCAACTTGCGAACCGGAAGCAACGCTATTCGTGTATTCATTCACGCACAATGACGTATATCATGCACTCGTATAAATAAATTTATATCAGTTCTATAGATTCTTTATCTGTCGACAATATAAAAAGCTAACCTCTAAGCGAACGATACCCCATATTGGTTAATATAATATTTCTTTCTTTTTTTAATTTGATTTTATTGTGCATATAACTGCCATTCGTACCTCTAATGCTGACAAACTTTCCAAAACTTATAAAGGTAAACAGAAAAGTTAGGTTCGAACAGACGATAAACCTGTGGAACGTTTAGGCGCGAAAGTAAATTTGTAGTTTTATTTTTCATGGCGTTTAATCAGCAAACCGCTACTTCGAGAACTACGTCTCAACGTTTTTCAGTGGAGTTCTCAATCAGAAGTTACTGGTTGTTCGTCATTCTTATTTTTACCGTTCATAACGTATGTGGATTTAACGTAGACACTAAATTTCCAGTCATTTTTAGGAATTCAGCATGGAACTCGGAAAACACTAACTTTGGCTTTTCTGTGGCCTTCCATAGAAACGACGCTGCAAAAATGTAAGTTTTTAATTATATTTCAGTTTATTACACAATACTTTTCTATAAACGTGCTGAACGAATGTTGGATGACAAAATAAGATGTAGACATTATCTATAGAGTAAAATAATATTTATTATAAGGTATTCCGTAGTTTCATATAACCATCCATGCGCATTTTCATTCCTTACTAATGTCACGAAGTTTTGCTTTTACTTTTAGGCCTACAATAAAATTCAGAAGGCTTAAACTAAATAAAAATAATAATCTAACCACCGAATATATTATCATGATCCGAATCGAATTCCGGTACGTTCTTTCTACAACACTGGACCAATCTTCGTAAATTTACCAACACAAACATATATATAGGTAGTTCATGCTTTCAAACTACACAACTAATTGTAATATATTTAACAAGAAAGTTTCCGTATTTCTGCGAACGCTTCATTATGTGTCTATATGTTTATAACTTATGTCACACTCGAACGGTGAAAACGTCGAAAAGTTAGCGCAAAATCTTTTGCATTTTGTTTTCCTATATGAAATATGTAATTTATACTTTTTCAAGCTAATATGTATCTTTATCTCCGAGAAACGTTACGTTACGCAAGACTTTTATTTTGAGGAAACAACTCTTAAAATAAACATTTGACGGTAATTTATTACAACAGATTTCTGTATTTTACTCCTTCAACGAACTTAATTAACTAGTTCTGTTATTTTGAAATAAGCTTCATATTTACCAAGTGGCCTTGCAAGTTTGTGTTTTGTAAAAATCTACATAAATGTGTGATAAAAAAAAATGTCTGTTAAATTCTTGATTTAATCGGAGAGTCCCCCCTGTGGGACAGACTTATGACATTAAAACTCGGGGTTCGATTCCCCGCGGTGGACAGAGTGCATACAGCCTATTGTATAGCTTTGCATGAAGTAAACACGAGTAATCAGAGAGATTCCATACCCTCGCCCCGCCGCTCCTTCGAGAGATTGCATGCGTTTATATTCGATAACGTAAAATTCCACCTTCGCAAACTCAGAAAATCCTTCTCAGATCCAAAATGATCAACGATCCAGATCATTTTTTGTAGTGTGATGAGGAATCTAAACTCTAACGTGCCCATGAAATTTGGTACAAATCCGATCTCACTTTACATAGTTATTAACCGAAAACTGCGAAAATACGCTGTCTCCCCCATTATAAAAAATGCTTCAAAGTCATCCAGAAACACAGACAGACACACACGGATCAGATTGCAATACCCTCGCTCTACCAGGGTAACAACAACAACTTAACCATGCTCTCCAGTGGCTCAGCAGTAAGTTAGAAGGCTTAAGACACCCACATTCGTGGTTCTATCCTTGCGATTAGCGTTACGCAGATAGTCCTTCATGCTGCTTTGCGCTTAAAAAAAAGGACAAATGCAGATATTAACTGGAATTATATATGATCAAATAAATTTACTTTCAATTATTTCATCAACAGATTACAGGGATTAGTGTACTTTAGAGATTTATATAATTACAACTGCTGAGAAAAATTCGGAGGAGCTAATTACTTCGATCTTTTAAAACAGAATGGATTAACGCTAATCCTTTAAAGCAGAATGAATCAAGGTTAAAACTTTAAAACAGTGTAGGTTAAAACTAAATCCTGTAAGCTCAGTGAATTGGTGTTAATTCTTTAAACAAAATAGATTAACACTAAATCCTTTAAACAGAGTAAATTAATACTAAATACTTTAAAACAGCGGATTAATGTGAATCCTTTAAACAAGATGGATTAAAATTAATCATCAAAACTGAGTAAATTAAAGCTGATCAAAAAAAAAAAAAGATGGATTAAATGTCTTTGCAAATCTCTTTAAGTTTACTTCTGGTCGGAAAATTTTGAAACTTATAAACGTTAAAGGTGAGTTATTGTTCAATCATTTCAGAGACACAAGAAAGTACAGAAAAATTAAACTGATTAAGACGCACAATAGGAACCTTTCTCGATGTGCGCCTTAAATAAACTAATTGCAAATATAAAAAAATAAGGGGTGGTTCTAAATGGACCTACCCCTCTTTCCTAGTCATGCTATTATGTAACTTGAGCTGATTCAAATGTTGATATCAGTTTTTTTTTGTTTCTTTTAGGCTTAGAACTTACACTGAACAAGAACACTGAACGTAATTATTGGGTAATCGACCTCTCAAAAAGTTAAAGTTAGTTCTATTTATTCCGCGTGGGGGCGTATTGCGAAATGAACGTTTGAAATTCTAAGACAGCTTCATTTATTGGCTAAGTTGTGAGAAAACCTACAAACAGGGACGGCGCCAGACTCGTCTCAGCGAGGGGGCTGAGGTGGGCTAGACAAAATAATGAGGGCGCAGCACACCACCTCTTGCTTGTGAGGACACATATTGTAGTACTTAGGAAGTGAACCAGCTTTAACACTAAGTAGTTTTTTTGGGGGGAGGGGGTGCGGGGGCTACCGGGAAGGCTGAGTCACATTTTGGGGTAGCTTCAGCCTCTTACCGCCGCCCCTGTCTACCAATGCACGAAGTCCGAAGATGGAGTGGGACGATTATACAGACTGGTTGAACAGTGACTTGATGTGGAATTAATAGTGTACTGTACAAACTTGCACTGTCTGTGGATGGGGAGGGGGGGGGGGTAACGTGAAACTTAACTTTACTCTGTTCCAAAAATGTGAACACACAATACATTTCCCAAGATACAGATAATACATTTCCAAAGTTTTGATACTCTACTGAGGTAGAAACTGTTACACTTATTACGAAATACTCACAGAGGAAAGAGGTGATACCTTCCTAAGTATTTACTCCCCACAGTAAGCCAATATTAGGATAATACTTCGTGGGTGTGGTGCTTCATTTGTTTACTTTAGTCACAAATTTGAGTTTACTAAATAATTATATTAATTCTAATCAATATTTGTTATTGTTTGTTATTAAGCACAAAGCTAAACAAAGGGCTATCTGTGCTCTGCCCACCACGGGTATGGAAACCTAACTTTTAGCCTTCAACCTTTCCACTATGCCACTAGGAGGCGTTATTTGAGTTTACTAAACAATTACATTAATTCTAATCAATATTTGTTGTTATTGTTTGTTATTAAGCACAAAGCTACACAAAGGGCTATCTGTGCTCTGCCCACCAAGGGTATCGAAACCCGGTATCTAGCGGTATAAGTCCGCAGACATACCGCTGTGCCACTGGGGGGGGGGCTTATTTGTTATTAAATCATACACTAGTGCTGTCAGTTCTTTCTTGAGGGGGGGGGGCATTCCAATTTAAAATATTGGTTTGTTTTGTTTCAGATACTTGCTGGATGCTCAAATCGAATAGTGGGTTTTTAGTGTCATTCTTATAACGTACACAAGGCCATGAAGTGCGGAGCAGTAAGTATTTTTATTTTCTCTCTCTTTGCAAACTAAAATCCTCTTCTACGTATTTGCTCAAACGTTATTACGTTTTTCCTTCAGGATTTTGGTGACGGCCCCCAAAGCTAATGGCTCTGCCTTCGGATCTGATGTTATCGAACCTGGAATTTTATACAAATGTATTTTTATAGAAGGGAAATCCACAACTACTTGTAATGAAGTTGAAATTGATACCACAGGTAACATATTACTTCGTTTTGATTTCAGATTTCGCCTTATTTGTAAATTATAAAATAAATAAAAAGAAGAGTAAGAAATAAAAGTAAAATAACAAATAAATGTAAGACAACAAAAAACTATGATAATAAATATCGAACAAACAAGAACTAAATAAATACTTGTTACGTTAATGGGAGGAACATCCCTTGTATATATATAAAAAAAAAGCTTCTTTATTACGTTTCATAACCCAGTCCACAATTTGATTACAAGTTTCAAATTTACATCGATCGTGTGAGATTCACATTTTTTATTATCCTAATTCTTATAATTCGGAGTACGATCCCCATGACGGATACAACGTAAATAGCCTATTGTACAGTTTTGTACTAAAACAAAACAAATTTATTAACTACGATATTTGGTTGCCAGAGCCATTAATGACACCTTCGACTTGTTTTTGGATACGTTGACAGAAGTGACGTAACCATGGCAACCACAAAGATATTATAATAAGTTCCCTAATGTGCAAAGAAGTGTGTTAAAAAAAACACACAAAAAGTTAAGACGTTTTGATAAAAAGTGCCGTTTGAAACGTTACGTTGTTACATATTGTTGACGAACTACACATAAGTGTATTACAACTCTTTCACGACCTAAAACGTGCCGTTTGAAACGTAACGTTGTGACATATTGTTGACGGACTACACATAAGTGTATTACAACTCTTTCACGACCTAAAACGTGCCGTTTGAAACGTTACGTTGTTACATATTGTTGACGGACTACACATAAGTGTATTACAACTCTTTCACGACCTAAAAAGTGCCGTTTGAAACGTTACGTTGTGACATATTGTTGACGATAAGTGTAGTACAACTCTTTCACGACCTAAAACGTGCCGTTTGAAACGTAACGTTGTGACATATTGTTGACGGACTACACATAAGTGTATTACAACTCTTTCACGACCTAAAACGTGCCGTTTGAAACGTTACGTTGTTACATATTGTTGACGGACTACACATAAGTGTATTACAACTCTTTCACGACCTAAAAAGTGCCGTTTGAAACGTTACGTTGTGACATATTGTTGACGGACTACACATAAGTGTATTACAACTCTTGCACGACCTAAAAAGTGCCGTTTGAAACGTTACGTTGTTACATATTGTTGACGAACTACACATAAGTGTATTACAACTCTTTCACAACCTAAAACGTTGCCTGACGTTTGAGGCATATCAAACTATAATGAAGGCGAGGTTTTTCCGAGTAATCCTGAGTGAATACTTTATATGGGTGAATGTTTTAACATAAACATTGTCGAACAAACTGATATTTAGACCCGTGTGAGTTTTTAAGTCATCTTCTGTATATATGACGTCATTCATCAACGTACAGCCACCTCTTGTGGCAAAACTAACAAATATATCATTTTTGAAGGAGCACTTCCTTAATGACACATTAATTTTGTATTTTATTTTTATTGTTTACAGCGCTCACAAAGTAGCAGAAATAATAACAAATTATAGAGAATTAAATATATTGCTTTGAGTAGTTCAATAAATAAATTCCATTTTTATAAACTCTTCTACGCTCTATTGTGTAGGTATTTTTATAAACCCTTCTACATCCTATTGTCCAGGTATTTTTATAAACCCTTCTACGTCCTATTGTCCAGGTATTTTTATAAACCCTTCTACGTTCTATTGTGCAGGTATTTTTATAAACTCTTCTACGCTCTATTGTGTA